CTCTCTCTCTCTCTCTCTCTCTCTCTCTCTCTCTCTCTCTCTCTCTCGCGGCCAGCGCGCACGAGATAACTGAAAACAGTCTGTTCATTTGACGCTTTGAAACGCCCCTCCATTCTGCCGTTTCTTTTTTTGTCTTTTTTTTTTTATATCCCTCCTCCTCTTCTCCTCCCCCGCCGCTCCTCTCGTAACAAACTTTCGAGAGTCGTTTTCGGGACACGTAATTTAAATAGGGGCCCCGAAGCGAAATAAAAGACAAACCCCTGTTGCTCGAACAAAAATTACACCGCGCCAGTTGCAAGTTATTTAATCCCCTCCGCGAGAGAACTTTCATTACAACTTCAACAATGTCCTGTCTCGCTTCGTTTAACTCGCGCAATTCAGCTTACAGAATCGTCCCGGTGGCACGCGTGTAACGTCGGCCCCCAAAAACCTGTTCTTTACAGCTCGATGGCCCCCTGTAACCGTGCTGGGACACGTTTTAGTACACCGGCCTGCCGAAATAAAAAATGCGAAACAAACGCTTTCGCTCATACGTACAAAAGCGCGCACGAATAATTATGCAGGAACCCTTTTGCAGCTATTGTTAGGGCGTTTTAATCCTTGCAATCGGTTTTGTAGATATAAAAAGGGATGCAATTATGTTTAGAAGAGATCATTACTGGAGATGTTTCTTGAGGAAGAAAACTTAGCAAAGTGGAAAACATTTTAATTCTGATCCTGAAGAAGGGGTTTATACTCGATGCTTTGTATAGAGAACGTGTTATACTTTTGGAGAAGCGACCGTAGATTCCTCTTTCGATCCAAGAAATGTATCCACTGTAGTATGTTTCAGCTTTCTGGAGATGTTTCTTGAGAAAGAAACCTTAGTAAACTAGAAAACATTTTAATTTGGTTCCTGAAAAAAGGGGTCTACGCTCAACGCTTTGCATAGAGAACGTTGTACTTTTGGAGAAGCGACCGTAGATTCCTTTTTCGATCCAAAAAACTATGGTACCCACTGTATTCGATAGACTCTGAGGAGAAAGTATTTAGCCGCCAAGGTCACTAGGATTGGTTCTCCCCACCTGATCCTTCCAAGGACCTCCTAACCCCACCGCTTTCTACTGCGAAATGATTTCGAACTTCCATTATTATCCGAATGTTCCCCGAACGTCCGCGCCGCGATTTCCGTGACGAAACTTTACTCGCATCTCTTAATACGGGGGTACGGAGTTAGGAAAAAGGTCGGAGAGCGTCAAAGGACCCAAGAGTCGGCAGGGAAAATGAACGCGGCCGCTGACAGGAGGGTAAATGGAGAGTGCATCGTGTTCGAGTATGCTCGCGAAAAGAATTTAACGCGATGGAGTAAATTAAGTAAATCTAGCGTGTCGCGAGCGTTTATCTCGGCTGGCCGAGTTCGCGAATAAAGGACGAACACAAATAACGCGCCTGCGCAATCAAGGCTCACAACGTCCTGGCAGTTCGTACTTTGTCCAATAACGTTTCTTCATGTTCAACTGGGAATAGCTTGCGACCATTCCACCAGAGCTATTCTGGTATTAGTTTCAGAACTTCTCAGACATTTTCTCGGTCTTAATAATCGAAACTTTTAATCAAATCACCGTCCAGATACAAGGGGAACCGAATCTCGTCGCGCATCCGTTTATCCGAAAGTTTAATTCCGACGAATGTCTCGCGCACGCCGCCCATAGAAAATTTCACGATTTTCCATGAAACCGCTCTCGAGATATGAAGATACTCAGACCCGTATATACTGTCCCGCTCCGAGAAGATGGCCTCTGGCGACGCCTGAAAGTGCGTCACTCTTTTGAAATTGCGGACTGAAGGACCGTTTTACCTCATTAGTGCCAAAGAGAGTGTAGTCTGAGACTGTATCACGGGATAAAATGGCCCTTGGGTCTGCGATTTTACTAGAGTGACGCAATTTACGGTCGTCGCCAGAGGCCATCTTCTTGGAGAGGTATAATACATCGCTATAAGATTAGTTGTATCTATTAGACTCTTCTGAAATGAACTCGTACACACTTACAGTCGATACTATAAACATTCGTGCACTCTATGTCTATTGAAGAAGTTTAACTAAATTTAATAATAATTTTTATGCATATATATATATATACATTAACATATTTATGCAAGCATACACTTGGAAACATGACGTCTGCCATTTAATTCAAACAAATTTCGTCGATAGACACAAAAGCCACGAATATTTATGGGACCTACTGTATAATATACCTGTTCAGGCCATTATTCGGGCCCATGCGTTATCGATTTCGCCAAGTCCTCGAATTTCATTCTTATGGTTTTGTTTTTATTCGTTTTATCACGTAAATCACGTATCATACAGTAAAAGGTCCTATTTTATTATTTCCACGAAATTGTTGCCTACGCGCGAGCACCAATTAATTTTCATTCACGAAGCTCGTTAAACAAAGATCCAAGAATAACGACATTCGACTGATCTTGAACACACATTATCCGTTAATATTCGCTAAAAATTGTTCTCGCAAAGTGCATAATTTTCCGACTTCATTTTTAACCGCCGAAAATTCCGATACTAATCGTCCGGTAAAAAATTCCGTTCGGTGGGTCGGGAGCTTTTAGCGTCGAAGGAAACGACGGCACGTTTTCCGCACATTTTCCACCGTCCCCTTTAAACAGGGTGCCATGGACATCGCGGTTAATATTTTCCTTACGCGTTCAGTGGAGACGGCAGCGCGAAAGTCGAGGACCTTTCGCCATTGGAAAGGACAGATCGAGCCCTTATCCCTCTTTTACAACAATTGCTTCGACGTGCGAATTTCAACCGCGTTGTTCGATGATTGCGAGTGGCGATAAGGGTTGTTCGCGTAGCCGAAGAGTGGAACGCGGTGGATGGGACACGATCGGCGCACGAAGGGCAATTGGGTGCTGGAAAAATGGTTGAAACGACGGGGAGGGGGATGGTTCCGCGAAATGTTGGTCAAGAGCGTTAAAGTATGCTCGTTCTACGTTTCCTGACAATTTTTAAGAGTGCACCGCATCGTAGCAATGAAACTTTAGGACGTATTTGTCATTTTCATTCTTGTTTCCACCCTTTGCATAAATATTCAGTTTATTTCGGAGCTTAAATTCGCCGCACGAATCGCGGAACAAAAATAATAATAACTTTTGTTCATCTTCGCGGGGAGTTAAATCGCTCGTGGTGTCCGGTAACGCTGTAACTCGATCCGACAAGAGAATTTTCCATATGAATTTCCCCATTGACGCGTAATGTTTTTTACTAAAAATGAACCATCGCCCCGCTGGATTACGTATACGGCGTCGGATTATTCTGCATATTTTTACGAAAATATAAAAATTCAAATCACCCCGGGGACCGCGTTGTGGGACGATAATTTTTTAACGAACCGTCTCCCCCGGACGGCCATTTTCCTTTCGTCGCGAACGCGTGCTCGCGAAAACTCATTTTCCTGCGACCAAAGTGGCTCGCTTTGATACTCGTCACGAATTCGAGATCCATGGAGCAAAGGTTCCATTTAAAGATCACAGAGGTTTCACGGTGAAAGGGGATTGGAGAGGAAGAAAAAAGTGGGAATCGAGCGAAGTGACGAAGGACCAGGATGACAAACACGAAGGGAAGTGGACGATCCGTGGATCCGACAACGTCAGACTCGATGGAATTTCCGGTTTTTCCGATACAATAACGAGGACCACACGTCGATATCGTCGCCATCTTTTTGGCGGAGAACGCCACGTCACATTAGGACGTTCACGTGTGGCGCCGAAAAATATTACTTTACTCCACGTGCTCGCATCTTTTAAATTTTGCAAAATTTATTCTACTAGGTAGACTGGAAAGTAATGTCGTTTCTTTTACACTAAATTCAAAGAAATTTTGAATAAATTTCTATTTTTAAGCAATTATGTAATCGCTCTCGTTATCAACCTACTGTGCAAATTTTCAATGACCGATACAAATCAGAGAGGTGTTGAGTGATAAACAAGGATTTAAAATTGCAAAGACGACATTACTTTCCAGTCTACCTAATATTTTCATTTCTGTTCGTGTTAAAAATTGACGTCACAGAGTCCACGAGACGCAATTATTACAAAGACTCGGCAACGTTTCGCGTAACACGAGCTACAGTAATCGATGAAAATTTGATCGTTTTCGCAACTCCGCCTCTGGCCGTTCATTTTCAACCTCCGTTCTGTCCGAGTATTTTATGTTAACAAAAATCACGAAACACGGGTAACGAGTTTTAAATATTTCAAAAACGTCGGACCCGTTCGAGATCTCATCCCATAATAAATTCTGATCGCATCGAGCCGTTTCACCCCTTCCCTTGCCGAACGTTCTGCGCGAGGTTCGATTTTTTCGCGTGCCGCTGCTTTTTTCCAGCGGCGATGTGCTGCTTTTTGTTATTATTTTCCTTTTTTTTCTGTACCATCCGATGTAAAGTATCTTCTTTTTGCGAATAGTCCTCGAACCATTTTTCTTTCCGCTTTTATTCAGCCGTTGTTCCCCATAAATTGTTCAACTCTCTGGTGCGTGGCCCTGTTGATTTGCAGTGAACTGCAATATGGCCCTCGTGAAAAAAATATTCCTCCCTTAAAACCCAAATAAAACAAATTCCCACGCGTTAAAATGGCGGACAGCGAATTTAGATACCCAGTTTTAAAAATAAGCTTCGAGCAACCAGAAATTTAAATAAAGTAACAAATATTTCAGAGACAGTTTCATATTTCTGTATATCGATTATATAAATTTTTCTTAAGTTTATTATAAGGCATCTAAACGGTATTTTTGCAACTAGCCACCCAGTATAGACCCAGATTGTGTCATTAGTAACTAAAGCAATTGTTCTGTCGCGATATTAAAGAACGAAGGACATAAATTCTGAATTCCACTATCCCACGCCGTTGAGCGAACGGGGGACGAGAATTTAATCAGAACGTCATATCAAAATTTAATTACTCCCGCAGTAATTAGTTCCGGTCTGCGCCGGAAATCCATCCGACTTTAAGAGGAGAGGTCGGTTCCTTTTAGAGAGACTCAAGTAATTTTTCTAGCCAATAGTCCGCACAATCGAGCGCCAGATATCTGTTTCGGCACTCTCGCGAGAGATAGCAAGTTATTTTGAGGATCCTGGTCGCGATGTACGGGTGAAATATTCTACATATGTGCTGAACGGTTGATAGAACGGCTAATTAGAATTTCATGGGACCGTCGAACGGTCTTTGGGGCCATCGGAAATACCATGAAGCTCCCCTAACGAAAAGCTACAAGATCAACGGAAAATCTCGACTAACTTCTCGGAAAACTAAGCTTTGGAAATTAATTTTCTCTGCCAAGCTTTGAGGATATACGAAAATTATAAGGGTTAGAATCCGTGAGGGTTATTAGTGGAGAACTTTAAACTACTTGGGGATAAACATTGAAATTTAATATCACTTTTGAAACGAGTCGAATGACGTTATGAGACGAACTACGGAAAATTATTTCCTTCGATATGAATTTCAATTATTTTGAACTATACGAATATTTCATTATTGAATCGGAGTTTTGCCAGTTTAAATTATTCCATACGAATTTTAATTATTCCCACTTAGATATGAATTTTAATAAATTACAGTTAAACGGACATTGTTTTTATCGAATGTAAATTTTAATAACCATCATCGAGTTTAAAATATTAACAGTATGTTCCGATCGACGTGATCGTTTATTAATTCTACACCAGCGAATAACTAGCTGCCATCAATTAAATTACCGTTTGATGTTGCTGTTCGATATTACAATAAAAATTCGTACTACATTTACAAACAAAATGAACTTCTCTTGGAAAATATTAATAAGAGTTACTATAAGCAGTAGCGTTTCCAAGAAACGAGCCAGTAGGTCGATATTACAATAAAAATTCGTACTTCATTTGCAAACAAAAAGAACTTCCCTTGGAAATATTAATAAGAGTTACTATAAGCAACTAGTATTTTCTAGAAGCAAAACAGTAGCTTGATATTACAATAAAAATTCATACTTCATTTCTAGAAGCGAAACAGTAGGTCGATATTACAATAAAAACTCATACTACATTTCCAAACAAAAAGAACTTCCCTTGAAAATATTAATAAGTACTAGCATTTCCAAGAAGCGAACCAGTAGTTTGGTATTACAGTAAAAATTTGTATTACATTTCTAAACAAAACGAACTTCGCTTGAAAACATAAATAAGTGTTATTATAAGCACTAGCATTTCCAAGAAGCGAACCAGTAGCTCGATATTGCGATCAAAATTCATACTTCATTTCCAAACAAAAGAAACTTCCCTCGAAAACATAAATAAGTATTACTATAAGCACTAGTATTTCCAAGAAGCGAACCGGTGATAAAACATCTCTGAAAAAAATCGAAGCGACTCTTCGTAAAACTCAGATCTGAAACAAGTGGAACGATTCCTAGTTCGAGTATCGAAGCCTGAAAAGCATCGCGCAATTTGTAAATTCCTGTAAAACGAAGTCGCGTAATCCGAGGCGCGAAATGCGAAGAATTGTTGGGGCGTTATTAATCAAGGTGTAACGGGGTTCGATCGCCACTGACGTTCAACGTTTTCTGTTTCAGAGCGGGAAACCCAATCCCACGGTGAAGCTGTTCTACGTCGACTTAGAGAAGGTGGTCCAAGGTAACGCGAGCTTAACTGAAATCGAACATCCGGTCGAGTTATTCGACAAGGAGAGGATTTTATCAGCAGTCGCATTTCCTACGGACAATCTCGTGTACGCGACCTGGATGAACAGAGTGCAGAACGAGGCGTACTTCCACTTCTGTTACGTCAACGGTCCTGTACCGAATTGCACGACCGTACGTATCCCCCTGTCGCCGCTAGCCCCGCCTGGAACGCCTTTTACGCCAGCTAATTTCTATCTTTGACAAGATGGCCCCGATAACTCTCCAACCCCATTGTCTGGGCGAGCTAGCCAGATTTTTTGTCCCAAGACGAACGAGAAGCGCGACGATCCACCCGGTAGTTTTCGTTAAAATTTTAGGACGACTTTATCGCCCAGTAAAACAGCAGGTTCTGCTTTAATTAGACCCGAGCTCGTTGGGAAATTTCGCGGACTGTGTCGACACCTCTCCAACCGAATTACTTTCCGATCTTTGGAGAAATCTCCGAATCTTTTTTTTTTTTTTGTAGAAAAATCGATAACACGTGGTTGAAAGAAGACTCCAATTTGTACGCAATCATCTCCTGCAGTTAGAAAGGCGTAGAATTTCGAGGAAAGTTCTCTACCTACCCTCGGTTGAAGATAATTATCCTTCTTGCTTGTAGACTTCTGTGCCGAGTATATATTTTAAATGCGTAAACTCCGCGGTTTTATTATAGTTAACCTAGGTAGACTCTCGGAGCTTTCCCCATTAGTTTCGAATGTAACGGCTCGCGGCTGTCAGTCTTTCTCGAGTTAATAGAGCGTTTGTAGGTTGTTGCTGCCGGTTGCGCTTTTTTTTTCATTTGAAATAGTTTTAATTGGAACGAATGTTTAGCCGGTCGGAGCTCTCGCAGTCGCGGATTCGAATTTAAAAAAAAATTGTTTTTTAATCCGTAGGGAGACCCCGCGTCAAAGCAAAAACGTTTACAAGTTCTCAACGAAATGAACGCAAATAACTACGGGGTTTAAGGATCGAGCCCGGAAATTTAATAGTTCCCGGTTTAATTCCAGTTTACGTGTTGCATACACTCGCGCTTAAAAGTTTCAAACACACTTTGATGTTGCATTTGTGCAAATGAACCTCTTGTTGCGATGATACGGACTCCTGAAAATATTACCCAAACTGTTATCGCGTTAAAATTACGATTGTTGAGAATACACACAAATCTCTAACGGTCAGAAAATCCTTTTTGACTGAGTAACACCGGGATAGTTTTCCAAATTTATAAAGCGTGAAGCGCTTAAGATACCAGCTTATTGTAGATTCATTCGAGGATAGATTTCTAACGTTATTGACTACTTATGTAAAAATTGTCCTAACAGAAAGTCGAGGAATTCAGTGACAATACTGTCAAGCAGATGCATGGAGAAATTTCAAGATTTAAGAGTTCTTTTAGCAACTCAAGATGGTATCTTAGCATTCTATTGTCACGAATGCTAAGTTTAAATTGACTTCGAAACTGAGATCTCTAATATGAGATTTGAGAATCAGGTCACGTTTGCCTCAACGACAATCATTCTATTGACACTTCGAGTTCCAAAGAAATTAAGCCTAAAGAAAACCTAGTGGTGACTGAGAGTCACCCTTCGAGTGCAAAGTGTTAAATTATAGTTATCGGTCGCTCCAAACTCTCTAAATAGAAAAACTACTTCTTCCTCGAAAGATGAGTTAAAATTCGTGCGATCGAGAATGGGTAACAGGCGGGGTAGTAACGAGACTCTTCTGGCAGAAACAGAAAGCACTTTGTCGAACGCGAGAGAAATGCTTCATCGACGGAGGATTCGTACAGTCGTCTCACTCAGCGACGTACAATTTTTCGCTGAGGAAGGATTACGTTCCCGGAGGGTTAGGAAATGAAATATTCATCTTTCCAGGGACTGCGGTACGTCGAGGAACATGGATGGGTCGAGCAGTTCGAGCCGCCGCTGTTCAGCAAGGACGGGAATTCGTTCGTGACGATTCTGCCGCAAAAGCAACCGGACAACAGCCACTGGAGGCATGTTGTCGGAATTACGAATGTATCCTCCGGCAAGGCGTCCACCGCAGCGCTAACTTCCGGCCGGTTCGTCGTAACGGAGATAGTTTCTTGGGATCAGGAGAATTCGTACCTGTAAGTACATTCGAAAATCCCTCCTAGGTCGCGACCGTTTGCTCGTTACACCTAGTGTAAGTTGAACGGTAAGCCAGCTTGAAAATCCCCGAAAGTAGAATTGGCGATAAGAAGGCAGGAGGTTCTGAATGGCAGACGTTCAGACCGACTGGAAACTGTTAACGTGGTCTGCGATCGGAAACTTCACTAGGTAACTCGGTGGTCCGCTTAAAGTCCCTCTTTTCGAGACACCAACGCTAGGTTTTTCTTGAACGTTCATTTGTAACGGATCAGACCTTCTACAGCGACCTATAAGTAAGCTAGGTTATTACCTTCTTCTTGGGTTAGGTCTGTCAAGCATTTCCCTTTAATTTTATAAAGTAGATTACGTTTCGAAAAGATGAAAAAGTTAAGGGTGATTCCTTGCCGGGAAAATGCTTGATGACGTTGCTTCTAAGTCCACGTCGCAACATAACTTGCACTTAGAGCTAGACACTAAGAGCGTCTTAAATGTACCATTAGTTACTGGCCTCTACATTTGCAATTCAGAGAGAATTTTGAATATTCGAACCCCAATCCGGGCTTTGCATCCTCGGGGTATCCTAAATTGTGTGACAGTTGTACACAATGCAACGCTGGAGGTCCGTCGTCATTGTTCTCGCCCTTTGGGATACTTTTAACCCTTTATTTACTGGCAGGATTTATGAGTCCTGACAATTTTTCCATGGTACTGTATTAAATAAAAGCTTTGGCACTTTTATGGAGTTCGTTTTTAATTGTTGTTTGGCAGCACTCGTGATATAAGACCAAGATGGACGCCTAGATTTGTAAAACTTGAGAAATTCAATAAATAAAGGGTTAAATCTCCATTCTTTGCCTGAATGTGTAAAAATATGAATTTTCGTAAACTCGAGAAGTCATTTTCTAAAATCTCAGCCCTTAACACGTTGACTGCCAGACCAATATTCTTGAGAATTTCTGGTAGGGTTAAATATTATTTAAGCTATTGGAGGCTACATAATCAACCATTTATCATAGCATTCATTTTTGCAACCCCATAAAAATTCAAGAGCTTTACTTAAATTCATTTCGTTTTAATGCTTGATTCACAGAATTAATTCTTTTAGTTCTCGAATGAAAAGCACTGCCACCCATATATGGGTTAGGTTTTGAACATTTCTTCCAGAGTTAAATATTATCCAAACTATTGGATGCTACATAATTAACCATTTATCATAGTATTCATCTTTGTAATTTCATCAAAATTCAAGAGCTTTACTTAAATTCATTTCGTTTTGATGCTTGACTTCCAGAATTAATTGTTTTAGTTCTCGAATGAAAAGCACTGTCACCCATTCATGGGTTAGGTTTGACAGCCACAGGTCGCCGTAGTTCCATCTGTTCTTGCCACGTAGCTTTAATCCGAGTACGACCTGGTTGAATGCGTTCATTTCAACCGGTATCCAGTGGAATTAACGCAGCGATGTATCTTGTACAGAGAGCACAAAGTATGAAACAGATTCGAGTTGTTTCGAATTTTTTTTTTCTGTCTTGTGAAATTGGACGCTTATTTCAGAACCACCCTGTACATAATGAACACTCGTATCGACAGGCCGAGAAAGAATTTTTCACGATGGTAAGCGCGAGCGTTAAATCATTGCTGCAATCCAGGAGCACGAGGCGTTCAAATATCGACATTAAGTACACGGACTTACCTACGTACTTTCCATTATTTCCCGATAAAATATGGCTCATAAGGAACGATATTACGCGAGGGGGGACACGATATTGGAGATCCTCGTAAAGTCGCCGGCAACCGTCGCCACGGGAAGCGGGGGACCGCCTAAAGAACGTTATCATTTATCACGTAAACGCACCGTTAGGCATTGATACTGTGCTCGACCCACCTAATTCAATCTCGGCGCCGTTAAAGAAGTTAAAATGACATTCATCATATCGATTAAATTGCTCGGTGAAATATATTCTGTTCCCCTCCGCAGTTTCTTGGTGGTTCGCGCGGAAATTACTGATAAAATTCATTTTCTTGCTCTATCTCTCCTTCGCTTTTGCTCCATCTTTTTCAACCCCCTCCCGCGGGATTTCTTTGAGTTTACAGGGTCGAAAAATTACCATCGTTAACTGAAACGCTTTTTGTAGTAACGAGATCCTTTTCGGAGATATATTTCACTCGTTGGTTCCATCGATATACCTTTCTTTTTTTAATCCTTCATTTACTGAATTTCTCAAAAGTTTTTAAAATGTCCAGCTTGGTCTTGTGTCATCATATAGAGTTGTCTCTAATATGCTTCCAAAAGAAAAAAAGCTTGTGCTGCTATCCAATGCGTTTCAAAGCTTTTAATTAATACAGTAGTCAATCAATATAATTGATCTTCGATATGAAAACTTTTACTTTGAAAATCAATATACGTGATATGAAATAAAATATAAAATTTCAAATCAAACATGATTTATCAAAATGATAAAAACTTGAGGGATGATCGAGATTTGAATTTAAGAGAAATATGCTTCCGGTTGTTCATAAATAATATTCAATAGATTTATAACCGCAGTTCGCATCGTTCAAGTGTTGCTATTTTTAATTAATTCCTCGCCACTGCCGCGGACTGAGATATTCACTTTGTGCTCCCGTGCACCATTATCTTTCGCTTTGTGCGTTTAACTACCCTTTTATTCACTTTTCGCTATCTCCTAGCATTTTACTAAGTAATTGCTGCGTAACAAATTCGTTATTAGTCGCTGAAAAAATAAGACGCTCGCGATGGTAATTCGTGGAATCATTAACGAACGATTCGCAGCGAAACGGCTCGATAACAAACGCAACCCCGTCGATGAAAGATGGATCATTATTGAAATTTCTCTATCTACGATGCTCGAGGCTCGTTCGTAATTCCGTAGAAGTTGCACTTAAACGAGCCAATATTTCCGCCGGCTGGTCGAACGAGAGTTGATTTTACGCAAGACCTTTCCTCTAACCGCCTTTATGCTCGGTATCTGATCGTGAAAACACTGGAAATCGCCTTAGGGTTTCTTCTGGCCCCACTCCGGGCTAAGCTGCAACAAAAATACGGGGGAAAAATCGTTGCTCGACTTTTCAAAGGGAAAAGTTAATAAGCAACGAGGCAAATAACGGGGACGCCCAGTCGCGATAAACGCTGCTCGGTTTCACAGAAGAGCTGATAGAGTTTCTGTTCGGGCTTTGTACCTTTTCCCCTCCGCCCGTTGTTATATCATTTTAATTATTCGGTTAATTATTATTACCGTCATAACGTGTTTCATATGCAATCACGATATACCGTATCGCCGCGAATAATTATTTATGAGCCCCTCATCCACGGGGCATTTTTTAAATGATATTCTACTCCGAGGAAAACTGGGGCAGCTTTCGAAATTTAACGCGAGAACTAACCGAGATATCGGCTTGAAACTTCGCACCGTAAACGATACGTGTCTTATCGTAATACGTATTTTTTTTCGTACAGAAATACGCGATTTTCGATAAGTGGCGCAGAGTAGCAGCGAAATTTTTCCGAAAAATTTTGGACCAGGGAAACCCAAGCTAGCCCGTTTCTCGGAAGCGCAGAATGCGCGTTAGCCTGCGGTTCAAAAATAGCCGTCGGTGTTCGAAAACTGAAATTGAAATAAAAATGTGGTTCGATCGTTTATAGATCTGGAAAAATTTCCTTTTTTTTCGCCGGAATTTTCAATAACCGGCGAGTGTACAGAGAGAGAGAGAAAGAGTTCGGTTGGATCGACGATTGCCGTAGATTTTTTTTTTTTTATTTTTCACATGGGGAACGATTTCTTTCTTGTTGAGAAATTGTTGAACACGAAAAACGTACCTTTAACCCTTTATAGGTATTTTTAAGTTTCTACGCTCATACTTTTTTCTTTATAAAAAGGGTTAAGAAAAATTGTCCAGAGAGTTCCGTTCTATAAAGGGTTAAAAGTTCTTTACGAGAGTTATTCATCCCCTACTTCGTCTGCGAGCCATAATTTACAACCGTTTAGGCCAACAAAAATGCCAGGTTGCATCCTGGTACGAACACCGAAAGAAATCGCACCTCCGTGCCAAGTTCGATAGTAATTGGCCGCCTCGTGACGTTCCTGGGCGACCTACGAACATTAACCCCCGCGAAGCAGGGAAATTTCTACCGGGAGTCTAATTCGATCGATGCTTAATCCCTCGTGCTACGAATTGACATTTCCGAAAGTCTGAACACCGGGTGAAAGCGCGCGTCCAAGTTCACTTACGTTAATTACGATTGACCCTACATTCAGTGAGGCTGTAACGTACAACGAGCAGGAACCGTGACGCGAAACCTCGTTGCTCTAAATAACGGTCGGTGCTTTTTTCGTCGATGATGAAAGCGCCGATGATATTATTCGGTGCGTTCAGGCACGATACGTGCATTATACATCTTTTTATTTGGTTATCGACAGGATCATAATCAAATGTTTAGGCTGCGAGGAATATTCATCCACTTTGTTTTTCATAAAAATATTGGAATCCTCTCGAGCGACTGAACACCACTACAACATCGCAACACACTGCGACTATTCCCGAGGACGTAGCTTTACAGCAGGAACAGAAGTTTATACCCCAACATCAAACATGTGTCCACTACGTGACTATCAACTTCCAGCTAACAAACTCCGTGAATAACCCTAACGACATCGATTCATGGGAAAAAGTTCTACTCTACCTTCGTATTAGTATACCTATACTTCGTGCACTTCACCCTAAGATTCGTCCACTGTCTACCTTCAACCTTGGTTATTTGTCCGCGAGTGACACAAATTAACTTCACCCCAACGACGTCCATTTGGAGACGGATTCTTCCCCAATATCAATCCGCGAGCTCCTTCGTCGTCGAAAAAGGGAGCGCTAATAAACTTCAGAATGAACCCTAACGACATCAGTTTAGTGAAGAAACAAAAGTTCCACTCTACGAGTGCTTGACTCTATGTTCTGTCTATTACATAATTATCAGCCTCCAGGC